TTCGTCGCCCTTGTGAAGTGGATGGTAAGTCTACTATCCGAAGTAAGGCCTTCGAGGATTCATTCGAACCATAACCCCTTTTCGGACTCATTTAATCGAAAAATATGTCGAGGTCGGTTGGCTATTGCAAACGACTTAGCGACCGGTGATCTTATCATCATCGACACCTAAGAAATAACGGCGATAGGGCATCCAACACCTTCCTTACGTGTAGTGGACGCATCGTGCTCAAAACCGATACGGTGGGCCACATCGTGCTCAAAACCTTCTTACATATAACAGTATATAACAATATATAACAATATTTACTGTAAAAAACAATATATAATAGAACAATGACCAATAGACCTGCAAAATTATCAATTGATTGGATCTATTTTCAGTCATTTCCTGTTCGAATTCAACAATTGTAAATCCTACAACATTTCCTCAAGCATAAAATTTGATCATTACTCCAAAAACGTCAGCTTTTATTAACATTGGATTCAACAAATGTATGATCTACTACTTTCCCGAAATAAAAATTTCATATTTATTCCAAAAACTGCACCTTTTCCAAACCTTGCATTCTAACAAAAAACAATACAAAAGGGGGCAACTAAATTTCAATTGAAGTCTGGACAAACCCAAAGGTTTTTTTTTTTTTCTTCCAAAAAATGGTTATTTTCCAGTTAAGTTCATTCTGTTCCGATTAAGTTACCCGATACAGACAACTTCGGATATAGACACATACAATGTGTTCAAACATGGTTTCTCTAACTCTTAACATTAATTTTCAAATCAGCATAAGTTGAGAAAACTGTAAAATCATTTTTCCAACATACAACTTGAACACAAATGAGGCCCATATATATTCACCTTTATATGAAAATTAACAGCACATATTTTCTTCACTAAGACATAAATACTCTTCCAAACAATAGAATGTAAAGTTAATCAGTTATATGTTTAAAGTAAAACCTGAGCGCGGGTCCTGGAAGCGGCTTCGATAATGGAGGGAGCGCTCAAGTAGCCGAGCCGAGCCGGCGGGGGTTCCAATGCGAAACAGATTCATCAGACGACTAGACATGCAAGCTGCTCTCATCTGCAACACTGTAAACAACTACGGTTCGAATCCCCAACCTCTTGGCAGTTCGATCCTGCACGCAATTTTGCCTCTATTCGCGATCGCTATCTTCACAATTCTCGCACTTGTTGGGTTGATTAATTTCTGCCAATTAGATGAGAATTCTCTGAATCGAAGAGGTAGAGGTCTGGTTTTTCGATGGATTAGATAGGTTAAGGACGAACGACATCGATTGGAAGAACACACGCAGTGGGAAGTGTAGTATGTGTGTGAAAACTCCGATGATTTTTTGGGGCTGAATAAATCGATATATATATGGTGTATATTTGTAAATATGAATAAATGGTCAGGGCATTTAAGTAAAATATTTAGAGAGTTGGGCTGGAGAGGGATTGGATTACCCAATCTTACCTCCATAGGCTGGATCGGAGATCCAGTAATTAAGGGATGGGAGCCCGGGCCCAGGATCAATCCGGAAATGGGTTGGGCTGAACCAAATCTAAGATCCAGATGGATTGTGAGATCAATCACATTGGATCAGCCCAACCAAAGGGGCCCTTACTGATTATATAATCGAGAAAATTTTTAGAGAGAGAGAGAGAGGGGAACGGGTCGTAATGGAATAAAATAAGGGAAGAATAATCCCCAATTAAACTGGCTTTAGTATTTTATTTTCTTCATTTGTACACATCAATCAATTAATAATAATAATGACTGAGATAATTAATATTTATTTAATTATCATTCTTGTTTAATTTGTGCTACTTAATTTATTGACATATTATATATTAATTAAATGTGGTGTTATGAGTTATAAAAAAATTATTCTGGATATTATATTATTGTTTTATTGTTAAGAGTATCAACTTGCATAAATTAATTGAAAATGCATGCTTAGGCGGCTCGCCACGTCACAATCGGTTTTCTGTTGATATGCATCTTTACATTTGGAACATTTGTTTTTTTTTTAAATATATATATATATATATATAATAAATAAGTGATTAAAAATTAAAATATGCATAACAAATAAGATTTTTTTAGTGGGCTGAGCAATAAATTATATTTCATGGGTCCAATAAGATAGCATGGCCCACAAAATATTTGGGCCTACCCGAATTCATTTTGTTTTGAGCTTTCATTTTCATTTTTCGATTTATTTATATTATATATATTATTTTTTGACAAGAATATTATAATATAGTATTATTATGACCTTAAATGAAGTTCAGAAGTCACCATCATTTTACCACAAAGTAGAAAAGAATATTAAGTCACGTGCCTTTTACGCAACGTTAATATTATTATTAAGTGATAGATATTTATTTAAAATGTAAAAAACATATAAAGTTAACTAAGAGGGTGTTTGACTAACCTTATAAGATGTTAAAAGGAGATTATAAGATGTTTTAGAGCTTATAAAGTCTTCCAAAGTGTTTGGTAATTTTTTCAAAAAAAATCTTAATTTTTTTTTTTAAATAAACTGTTGGAGAGCAAATAAGATCTTTTTAAAAAAATACATATACCCCACCTTTTTATTTAAGATCTTATTATGAGTAAAAATAGAAAATAAGCTAATTATCCAAATATTCTAAAAATTAATCCTAAAAATAAGACGTAACAGCTTATTAGCTCTTAAAACATCTTATTAGACGTAGGAGCTTATCAGCTGTTTAAAATAAGTTTAGCCAAACACCCTCTAAATATTTGAAAATTGGTATCTCTTGATACGCGTTTTCCTCACGTATAAATTACCGCAAGTATACAGTATCGCATTTTGCAGAACAGTGGTTCCGGATATCGATCCACAGGGACCTTGTAGATTCACATGTTGAGTAGTGTAATTATATTATCGTTATATTATCTAGCCGATCGTAAATATTTGGAATTGTGAGAAACCTTAATTTAAAAGCATCCAAGAGCGTAAACATGCAAATATAGAATGTACGTAAATAGAGTAACGACAACTCAACGCGGGGGGACTTTGATTTAAAGGGGACTTCTAGGGCCAAATCCACCTATGTATAATCAACAACGATCGACAAATCCGCTATCTAAGATCACGTTCCTATTCGTTAACCCAGACGCTAATGTACTCTAACCCCCGTCTCCAGTGTAGTTAGAGTCTACCCACAGGTCCGACGTCTCCGTTCAGAACCTGCTATTAAGAGAGCATTTAGGCCAAGTCCTTAAGGGCTACCCGAAGTGCATCACGTCTCCGTTTCCACACCCCGAGCTATGTTTTCCTAACTTCAAACAAGAAATCCTCTCTCGAGTTCATTCCTATTTAATATCAATCTGAGAGCTGATCAACACAATCAGAAGCATTTAATACAAGAAAACATAAACGAAATCAAAACACGACAAATAGATAACAGAAATGACGATCGAAATCAATATATACAAGGCTTCATTGCCCTAGAAGAAAATGTTCTGAGTTCATAACAAACATAGAGTCAAAAGAATGTACACAAGAAAAGAAGAACAAAACGTAAAGAAATATCGTAAGAAAAACCCAAGTCGAAACCCTCGTTGAAGATTCCCGCGAAGAACTGTCGAAGACCGAAGAAAACCGAAGAAAGTCGAAGATGTCGTAGAAGACTGAGGCTTGCTTCTATTTATAGTAAGGCAAAGCTTCTTGAGGAAGCTTTGCCTTTTTAGATATTTATTACACATCCCGAGGCCCATATCGCGATATGAGAGGCAATATCGGGCGATATGGTAAAATTACAAGCTCTCTGTTTCGTTTTCCCCCATATCGCGATATGGAATGGCATATCGCGCGATATGGCAAAAATGCAAGCTCTCTGTTTCGTTTTCTCCCATATCGCGATATGGAAGGTAATATCGCGATATGGTCTCTGCAGTAACTTCAAACTCTGTTTTGACCCTTTTGTAGCCCGAATTTGACAATTTTGCATTTCACAAAAATTGTAGCCCTTGCAGTTGGCTTTCTAAATCCACTTGAATCAGCTCAATCAGAGGTCGTATGAAGAAGTTATGCGTAAAATACCGAAGGCTGCCACCATCCACTTGATTGCAATTTTTGCTCTTGTTTGACTTGATTCTCGGCTTCGCTTTCAAAATCGTTTCGAATCGGTAACAATATCTAACAAAACCTAAAAATAGAAATAAAACAAGAAACGCAATAATATATACAAATAACGCCGAAACTCGGACGAATGAAGACCAAAACTCGAAGATTCGATAAGCAAAAATCGAGCAAAATGAACACTTATCAGTATATATTCCAATTTCGACAAAATAAAAATCAAGTAATATCGATAGGAAGGAATTCAATTTAATTTTTTTTTTTCAAAATTGAAAATATTTTCAAAAGATACAATTGCGTAATTTTCGGTAATAAAAAAATAGTAAATAATTAAAAGGCCCGCATGGGTGTAGCTCAACTGGTTCCGGAGGTGGTAAGTCGGTGCAAGGTCCTAGGATCGAATGCTGGCAGCCGCAGTGTGAGAATTTCAACTCCAATGAGTTGGTTCCTTGTGGGCACCAGGTCCGGGTCCGCTACCTTAACGGGCCGTTGAGTTACCATGATTTACATTCCTCCATCAATCCTTGTCGGGCCAAGGGATGGGGGCGAGGGATTTCGCCTTTTGGTGCAAGTAAATAAATAAAAGCCCATAAAATAATAGTTCCAGGCCCAATTATCAGCGGCCCAACAAACACGCCACATCGTCTCTCTGGAAATCACACATAAAACAAATGCAAAAACAATGTCAGAAAAGAGGAAGGAAAAATAGCAGAATTGCTCCTTTCAGCGTTTTTAGGTAATCTTTCTATTTCATGTTCGTATGCGTGTAATCATATGCAAACGCGATAGGGAATTTTCTTTTCTTCAATACGAGAAGAAATGATCTCGATTGAGTAAATGACTACTGTCTGTAATTTCTTTTGTCCACAACGTGTTTGATGAAATGCTTACATGGTTGTTTCTGCATCATTTTGCTCTCCAGGTGGTGAATTTTGTCAAGTGAACCATAATATACTACTCCTCCATCATGATTTTGAGGATTCGCCGCCGCAGTAGTTTTTTCTTCAGATTTTTTGTGGCTAGTAGATTGTATAGTTCAGGAGAATTAGTGCAAGACTCAACAGAAATAGCCAAAAGGGTCTGCAAGATTATGACGTCATGCCCCAAACTAGGCCTCGATACGGCCCTTGACCAGAGTGGCATTCGGGTTTCCGAAGAAGTAGTCGAGAAGGTTCTCGAAAAGTTTGAAAATGCTGGAATGCTGGCCCACCGGTTCTTCGAGTGGGCCCACAAACAACGGAGATACTCGCACAGTGTTCGAGCCTACCACATTATGATCGAGTCTTTGGCGAAGATACGGCAGTACGATATAATGTGGGATCTTGTTAACAGCATGAGAAGCAAAGGAATGCTGAATATCGAAACCTTTTGTGTTATTATGAGAAAGTACGCAAGGGCTCAGAAGGTGGACGAGGCTGTGTATACATTTAACGTAATGAATAAATACGACGTGCAGCCGAATCTCGCTGCGTTCAACGGGTTGTTGAGTGCTTTATCCAAGTCGAAGAATATTAGAAAAGCTCAGGAGATATTCGATGCAATGAAAAATCAATTTTCCCCCGATTCGAAAACTTATAGCATCTTGCTTGAAGGGTGGGGAAGGGCTCCGAATTTGCCGAAAGCTAGGGAAATATTTACGGATATGGTTGACTCGGGTTGCAATCCCGATATTGTGACATATGGAATCATGGTCGACATTCTTTGCAAAGCTGGAAGAACAAGCGAAGCGGTTGAAGTTATTAAGGAAATGGAGTTCAGTGGCTGTCAACCCACGTCTTTTATTTACAGTGTCCTTATACATACTTACGGTATCGAAAACAGAATCGAGGATGCAATAGATACGTTCCTTCAGATGGAGAGAAACGGAGTCATTGCTGACGTGGCGGTATACAACGCCTTGATTAGTGCTTTCTGCAAAGTGAATAAATTCAAGAACGCGTACAAGGTTGTGGACGAGATGGAAAAGAAAGGGGTGAGTCCGAATTCGAGGACTTGTAATATTCTTATAAATGGATTGATAGGCCGTGAAGAAACCGACGAGGCTTTTAAGGTTTTCCGAAGGCTGTCCAAAATCTGCGAGCCCGACGCAGACACGTATACAATGATGATTAAGATGTTTTGCGAGAGAGATGAAATGGAGACAGCTCTAAAGGTGTGGAAGTACATGGAAAGGAAGCAGTTTGCGCCAAGCATGCACACGTTTTCGGCACTCATTAACGGATTATGTGGTAAGGGTGACGCTTCAAAAGCTTGTGTTTTAATGGAAGAGATGATGGAAAGAGGGATTCGACCAGGTCGGCATACGTTTGGGAAGCTGAGGCAATTGCTCTTGAAGGAAGGGAGAGAAGATGTACTTGGATTTTTGCAGGAAAAAATGAATCTTTTGGTTAAAGAGCCTCTTTGTGATTGAGATTATTGTTTGTGGATTGTAAGTTAAAATCGATTGTTGCAATCGCATGTTCGACAGTTGATCCTTGACCTTTTCGCTGCACAATCCGAGTCACGTGCACATACGAACCTGCTCCCGGTTTTGGTGAAGAAACAGCCGCTAGAAAAATCGGATTTGAGAGCACGAGACGGATCCAAATCTCGGGGTGCGGTGAACTCGAGCGCGGTGGCTAAGGAAAACTGGGGACATCGACCTTATTGTTTATTTTTGTAGAATCTATGATACTCATGTTTACAATATGCAAATCAATAAGCAACTATTGGATCTAATGAGATATGAAAAAAATGGGTTTTTCGATTTTTAATCTTCTAGAGTATTGAAATATTCTCCAGTTTGTAACCCACGTAATTTAGAGAATTCCATTAAATTTGACACAACAAGGGTATATATGTAAGAAGATTCATAGTTGAGGGGTGGCTGTAATTACCCAAACGTAAATGAGTATTTTTTCGTAATTTGACCTTATCTGAGGGGTTGACTGTAATTTGTAATTTAGCCTATGATTAAATTATCAATTATTATATTTAAAAAAATGGTAAATTACAACCACCTCATCAACTATAAATCTTTTTACACGTTCACCCTTGCGGTTTCAAAATTAGTGGAATCTTCTAGATTATATGGAATATTCTCAAATTTGTACCCGTTTTATCCCATGAGCTCTAAATTTTGAAGCAAGATGATCATAAGATGTGTTTTTTTGGCTTGTATATATGATATTGTGGTGCATCAGAAACTGTATTTTTGCACAAAACGAGTACAAACTAGAGAGCATTCCACGAAATCTAGATAATTATGTTGAATTTGACACCATAAGGGTAGAGGTGTGAGAAAATTCATAGTTGAGGGAGGTAGATATAATTATTCAAACATGAGGGTTTTATTTGTAAAAAAAAACATTTTCAAGGACCAATGGGCTGGGCTGGACAAGCTGTCTAGAGCCCGTATTATCAAACGGGCTTTCGGGCCCATTAAAATTAGAAGGTCCCATCGTTTTTAGTCAATCTCTGTGCACCCTCCGCCGCCGCCGCCGGAAGAAGTATCTTCCGATTAGTAAAACCCCCGCAGCAAAAAGACTTTCCAAATGTGGTAAAACGAAGATGAGTTTTCCATTTCGCCGGACACCACTATGCAGAAACTCCTCCATTCCCCAATCTTCCGTTCCGTGAGAAACCATTTCTTCACTCCATCCTCCACCTTCACTTCTTTTCCCGATAATGCCCTCGAGAATTCCAATATTGCCACCGAAGTCCTCGCCGTTATCAACTCCGTGAACCCCATCCAGCCGGCCCTCGCCGAATTAGCTCCCTTTTTAAATCGCGAAGTTGTGATTTCAGTGCTTCGGTCCCAGTCTCAATTGAAGAAAGACCCGCGGATTTGCTTCCGATTCTACATCTGGGCTGCCGAGAGAGCGCACCTCAGAAGTGGGGTTTCGCACAATTTGATCGTTGACATGCTTTTGAGCGGCGGCGGCGGTGGCGGTGGGGATTCGTTTGATCTGTATTGGGGCGTTCTCGATGAATTGAGGGATGGGAGGCTGCGCGTTGATGCGCATTCGTTCGCGGTGTTGATTTCGGGTTACTGGAAGCTGAGGAAGGCTGAAATGGCGGTGGCGGCGTTCGGTCGGATGAAGGATTACGAATGCAAGCCGAATAGAGCTGTTTACAATTTGATACTGAATGTTTTGGTCAAGAGTGATACGATTTTACTGGCGTTGGCGGTTTACAACATGATCCTGAAGTCGAATTGTGGAATGGGTGCCGACACTTTCAACGTTTTGATCGATGGGCTGTTCAAGAGCGAGATGATTGAAGACGCACTCAATCTGTACGACGAAATGACTCAGAGAAGGATACTTCCCACTAAGATTACGTACACCGTGGTCATATCGGGTATGTGCAGGGCGAAGAGGACGCACGATGCACATAGGATGTTTGAGTTGATGAAGACGAGGGGGTGTCAGCCTGATTCCGCTACGTACAATGCGTTGCTTGATGGGTTCTGTAAGTGTGGCCAGATAGACGAGGCCTTCAAGCTCTTCAAGTCATTTAGAGACGACGGGTATAATGTTGGGATAAGGGGATTCGGTTGCCTGATTGATGGTTTGATAAAAGCCAAGAGGATTAGTGGGGCGGAGAAATTGTTTCAGCAGGTATTGGATGCGGGATTAGTGCCCGATATTATCTTGTATACAATTATGATGCGTGGGTTAACCGAACTCGGAAGAATGGAAGATGCAACTAATATGTTGAGGGATATGATTGGAAAAGGTGTTATGCCCGACACTCGATGTTACAACGTTTTGATCAAAGGGTTTTGTGATTTAGGGCTGCTGGACGAAGCTCGATCTCTTGAGCTCGAGATTTCCCAGCACAACCAGTTCCCTAATTCTTGCACTTACACGATTCTCATTTGCGGGTTGTGCAGAAACGGTCTGTTAGGAGAGGCTCAGGAGATTTTCAACGGCATGGAGAAACTCAATTGCTCTCCTTCTGTTGTGACTTTCAATGCCCTAATTGATGGTCTATGCAAGGCTGCTAAGGTCGACGAAGCTCGCCTTATGCTCCACAAAATGGAGATTGGGAGAAACCCATCGTTGTTTCTTCGCCTTTCTCAAGGCACTGACCGCGTTCTTGATAGTGCGAGCCTTCACAAAAAGGTGGAGACTTTAGTAGAATCGGGTTTAATTCACAAAGCCTACAAGCTTCTAATACAGCTTGCCGATAGTGGGGTTGTTCCGAATATCAAAACGTACAACACTCTGATCAACGGTATGTGCAAAGATGGGCAGGTTGATAGAGCTCTTAAGGTGTTCGAGGAGCTCAAACACAAAGGGCATTTCCCGGATTCCGTAACGTACGCAACACTCATAGAGGGGCTCCAAAGGGTAGATAGAGAAGGCGATGCTTATAAGCTCTTCAAACACATGAACGAAAACGGATGCAAACCAAGCGCGTCTGTGTATAAAACGCTCATGACTTGGTCTTGTAGGAGGAGAAAGACTTCTGTTGCTTTCGGCCTTTGGTTGGAGTACTTGAGGAGCCTAGCTGGCAGAGAAGGCGAAGCGTTGAAATCGACCGAAAAATATTTCGAAAAAGGCGATTTCGAAATGGCTGTGAGGAGCTTACTCGAGATGGATATGAAGTTGGTGGATTTCGATTCGGGCCCGTATAATATTTGGCTCGTTGGATTGTGTCAGTCAAACAGAGTTGACGTGGCGATTAGGACATTTTCGGTTCTTGAGGAGTTTAATGTTGTTGTGTCTGCACCGGGATGTGTGAAATTGATTGAGGCTCTGTGCTCCGAAGGAAATCTCGGTAAAGCGGTTGATGTATTTCTCTACACGATCGAGAGAGGTTATAAATTGATGCCTAGAGTGTGTAACGGTTTACTGCAAAGACTTTTGGGTTCGAAAGAGAGAGCGGTGGTTGCTTTTGAGCTTCTCGATAAAATGAAATCTGTGGGGTATGACTTAAATTCTTGTGTTCATCACAATACGAGATTTCTTATACGGCATCGGTATAATGAGAGGAAATCCGAGAATGTGTTGTCAGCAGCCAGATAAGTTATGTTCTCGATTTTATTATACAATTTTTTTTTTTTTTTTTTAAATCTGGAAAATTGTTGTACTACTTGAGCTCATTAGATTTGCTGCTGACATTTTCTTTTTATCCTTTTAATTTGCATTAATGGAGGAGTGAGTGAGAACTGAAAAAAATCAACCATCCTCAGTTTTGTAGCTTTGTACCTAACCTTCTTGTGGCTTGTAAAGAATGAATAAGAGTATAAATCTTGTTTCCATATTTCAATACTTGTGGCAATATGTTCATGATTTAGCAGTTAGCCTCGTATTTATCGACTCGAATTATGAGCCAAACGTCGATGTTAACATTGTCTTGAAGTCGTATAACGAAACTAATTTACGGCGAAAGGTACGATTTTTAAGTCGTATCAACTCGAATTATGAGCCAAACGTTGATGTTAACATTGTCTTGAAGTCGTATAATGAAACTAATTTACGGCAAAAGGTAAGATTTTTAAGTCGTATCAAGTCGAATTATGTATACATTGCCTTGTATTTTATACACAGGTTGATGCAATCCCTCTAGGTACAACTTCAATACACTAAGGTACTACTACAGTCTACATTGTAGCTGTGAAACTATTTAAAAAAGAAAAGGAAGATGAGTGGCAGTGGCTCATTAATCTTGTGCTCTGGCTACAGGCTGCCAATCAACGAATTGGCGGGAAGCGGAGGATCGCACCCTTTGCTCTTTAACAATGAATAACCAGATTTCCTCTTCAACGATTCTATCAAAAATGGAAACAAAATAAACGCAAGTTAACTAGTGATGCTGCTAATTATGAATCTGAGGTGGAAAATTGAAAATCGAAAATCGATCCTCGTCCGCTTTACCTATTCTCTCTCTTATGGCAGCACCGTTTTCGGGGCCCGCACTCGTGTGAGCATAAGATAGTATGTTGTTGTACATTTGAGGAGAAGGTGGCACTCCTGCATCTTCCATCCACTGCATCACCTGCATTAACAAATCCATAATTTGTGCCATTGTGTTAATTAATGACTCACGTTTTGATTTTAAACAATAATTTCTTAAGTTTAAGTTTTCGAGATTTATTACCTCGATATATTTCCTCCAATACCCAGCAGCTAAAAGATCCTTCAATAAAATAGAGTACGTAGTCGAGTCAACTTCTGCGCCTGACGCAACTATCTTCAGAAACAACTACAGACAGAACGAGGGGTAAAAAATCAGTTAATTAACTGCCAAACCTTAGACATATTATCTGTAATATATTAATATCCAAAGTGCAGTTTATTACCTTCAACATGGTGTCGATTTTTCCTACTTTTGCAAAAGAATGAAGAAGATGGTTTAGTGTTCCAACGGAAATACGAGGAAGTGAATTCTCCATCGTGTGAATGACATCAGTTAATGTTTTCCAATCTCGCAGACTTCAACAACAAAATACGACAGTTAGTTTGTTCACTAAACAGAGAAAAAAAATATAATTAAGAATGAAACTCTTCGGTATATGATACCCACAAGTAGGGGTTGAAATTGGAACGGAAATTCCGAATTCCGCCGATTCTGATCTAAATATTTCCGATTGTGGAACAACATTTATCATTCCAAATTCCAATTTTTCCGATTTTTTCTCGGGGTGGAACTGGATAATATTAGATTCTGATTTCCGACCTGATTTTAATTTCCGAAAACTCCGAAACAAGCAAAGACTTACATGGTACATGCAGAAACCATTTCGAAGAACACAGCATCAATAAAAGGAATATTCTTGTCTCTCATAAACTCGGCAAGAAGCAACACTTTGCCCGGTAGAGATCCTCGATTGAAACTTCTCATAAGAGCTGCACAAGCTACCGAGTCTGGCTGGACACCATTTACCTCCATTTCTTGAAACACCGCAAAAGCTTTCTCCCATTGCTCTGCAAATAAATAAATAAAATTTAATTAGCCACTTTCTCAAACCCCCACTTTCAGACACACACACACACACACTCACACACAAAAAAAAAAAAACTCACCTGCAGTGGTGTAAGTATGTAACATTGCCGTATACGCAATAACGTCTGGTTGCAAACCATCCATTTTCATCATGTCGAAAATCGATTCTGCTTCAGCAAGTTGACCCTGGAGCAAGAATGGGGAATTAGGACTAAAACCAGTTGTGGCGGTACGAATTCAAAACTACAATGATATAAAACCACTCACCTGTTTGCTGTAGGCGCAGATTGCGGAAGAATATACCTCCTTCGAAAAGGGAATCTTCAGATCCCTCATCTCGACAAGAAAATCGAGCGCCTCGCTGTACTTTGACATCTTGCAACAGCCACTAATCAAAACATTATAAGTAACAGAATCAGGTCTAACTCTCTTCTTCCTCATACGCTTATATAAATCCAAAGCAGCCTCATATTCCCCGACATTCATATAACTTCCAATACCAGCGTTATACGCAATAGTATTCAATTCAATGCCTCGCAAATTAGCAGCTTTAAGTATCGAATCAATCTTCACCTTTTCGCAGCACCGCCCACACGCGGCCAACAATGTACTAATCGAGACAACGTTCGGTTGCAAACCGGCTTGCTCCATTTCACGCAAAAGTTCCACAGCTTCAGCTAAAAAGCCGTTCGATCCATACGCATCAATAAGTGCATTGTAGCTAACCAAATTCGGTTTGCAATTATTTTTCCTCATCATATCGAATACTTCTTTTGCCTTTTGTGGTTGTTGTGATTTTCCAAACGCATTGAGTAAAGAAGTGTAGGATACAACATCAGGGCGGGTACCCCTCTTTTTCATCTCGTAAAAAGTTGACGAGGCCTGCTCACTCAGTCCAAGTGAGGCGTACGCCCCAATCAACGCATTGTACGAAACGATATTTGGTTTTAAACCCTCTGCAATTAATGTGCTGAAAACAGAGTGGCAATTTTCGACTTGTCCACAAACAGAGTACATATGCATGATGCTGGTGTAGGTTACGATATCGGGGCGGCATTTTGATCTTTTCTCTCTCATTGAATTGAAGACTTTGATGGCTTCCTCGTATTTTCCAAGCTTGACCAGGCAGTTTATTACGATGTTGAGGGTTGTAGTGTCTGGATTGACATTTGTACCCCTCATAAGCTCGAAATACGAGAGTGCTTTCGAGTACTGTGATCCAGATTTATATGCAGATAGAACGATATTGTGGGTCACGAGATCCGGTCCGATTCCGTTATCTGTCATCTTTTTGCAAACTTTCAGAGCTTCCTTCCAATTACCACTTGTTCCGCATGCATGGATCAAATTGTTGTATGTTGTTCTGCTTGGAGGAATCTGCAGATTTTATACGATATCAAATTTATTTTTCCTAAGATAGTACCACCCAGACATGAATTACAAGCAACAATTTTACAGTACATTGACAACAACAACAAAAAAAGGAAAAAAGAAACAACTCTGAAATTTGTCTTCATATGCGAGTAACCAATTCCTACGCCACCAACAGAGTAAAAGAACACAAGCATAATAACTACTCAATCTTAAACTCACCGTCTTTTATTGATGTTGGCGTTCTTTTGGAAGTATTCTTAAAATATGAAAGTAAAGAGTCATTCTGATTTGAAAAGGCAATGTAAAAAAGATACTAGGAAAATATAAGATTCTTGCTTGACTTGCATCGTCATGAATTTCATACAATGGCTCAACATTTAAAACTCCGTTTCAAACTTAGACTATGAACTATTCATTTTTACTCTAGTGGGATTCCTATAATCCGATACCTCATCGAGAAACGAGTGCAGGATGAAAGGACTATCCATAATATATAGATAATAGAAAGAAGGAAGCTCACATCAGAACCACAAAGATTGATTATGAAGGAAAAATGTAAATACACACAGCTTCACGAAGCATGTCTTCCATAATATTCACTCCCCAGCGCCATTGACCAGCTCGCCCGTGCGCACTTATCAGAGCATTATAGGTTTCAACATCGGGTTTGCACCTACAATAAATAAAAAAACGATTCGTTTTCATTTGTTTTATCAACAAAGATTCTTGTTCGATTATCTAACAGATAGGGAGAGCTATAACGAAATGCACATGAAACGAACTCACTCACTCACTCACTCACTCACCTCCACTTTTGCATCTCGAAAAATAATCCACGAGCCTGGTCGATACGATTATGTCTAGCATGCAACCCGATCATCATATTGTATATATCGTTTCTTGCGCAATAGTTCTTTTGGTTCTTCATCCAATTGAAGACTTGGATACCATGTTCAATAGAACCCCTCATAGTTATTTCCTGCGCAGAGGGTAGTCGAATTTACAGTTTCTTCATCGAAATAAACGATACGATTAATAAGTTCAAGTACAAAACCACGAAATCGAACAAGCTTAGAGTTGACAAGCACATCTAAGAATATACAGCAGCCATTAAACAGTACCAATTTACAGTAAATTACCCTAATTAGAACCGGGAAATTCTTGCGAGCGAACCGGCCGGCCCAGCGGTTCAACACACTCTCAATATCCTCCCAATGGTGAAGCTTAATTACCCTCTCCACCACTTCCGATACAGCCCAGTCTTTCTGAAACCGGTCGCCCTCCACCCGGAGACGGTGTCGTTTCGGGAGGTCGGACTTCCGTACACCGGGGATTCGAGTGGTGAGCTTGTGGGTCCCGGCGTCGTAGTCCACGTGTGCTTGCTTCTTCTCTTCGAATGGGTCTATATTACTGGACTTGGCGAAGCAGTAAATTGTAGAGGCAGCGGTTTTGGCGGGGCGAAGAGGCTTCGGGTTAGGGGTGAAGAAAGGGGTTTGGTGGTGGTATACGGTGGCCATGGCCGCTTTTTTAGGGAGGTGAAAGAAGATAAGCCCCGCGCACTCGGCTCCGGTGACCGTTGAAACAACTTTATAAGGAGTCAAAGTCGTGGTTTGTTTTATTCATATCAACTAAAAGCGTGTTTACCTTCTTTTTTTCTCCTTTAGTTCCAACCTGAATTTCTTATGAGAAAAATATATTTTTGGTCCCTCAAGTTTTCATTGATTTCATATTTGATCCCTCATGTTTTAAAAATTATTAACACTTTTAGTCATTTTCGTCAATTTTCCGTTAGTACTAACAATCTAACATAATCAAGTTTGTGCCCATCACCGCCTTAACGGATGGAGTAATGGTAAATTGATTGAAAATTATTACATTATTTAAACACGAAGAACCAAGTGTGTTTTTTGTGACTAAGGAAAACCAAATGTGAAATCAGTAATTAAAACTGTAATTTTCCCACTTTCTTATCTTTTTTAGGTACTTAATGTTGACTTGAGAATTAAACAAATTTATGTAACTATAAAAGAAAAACATTGATGTTAACTGTTTTTTTACTAGCATCATAGCATATTAATTAGAAATGGTAAATTACGAAAACCACTGAAGTATGATCAAATAAATTATACACCCTTATAGTATCCGTAATAACAAAAGCCCCCTAAACTATTGCTCCGTCTAATTTATCACAACATTGCCTATATAATAAAACCCAAAACAAATATTTTCAGCACTATCTCGAAACAACTTTCGAAACTGCTAGCAATTGTTGCGCACCCACGTCAGTTTCGGTCCTTCGTTGCTAGTCTTTTGTGCTTGTTAAATTTGGAAGTAACATTCGGTGTTTGGATATTATTATTATTATTACTATTATTTCCTTGCCTCTTCATTAATCTCCTCTCAATATGTTTCGCTCTGTGCTTAAGATCGCTTTCCGTGCCAGCGTTTTGTTTCCTCTCCATCTTCCTTTTCCAAGGTCTCGAAGAACCTTCTTCCTTGGATGACATGGCAGAAGAATCCTCTCGTTTCCTTTTCTGCTGCCTGGATAAATATTTTACCTCGATTATCATCATCAACAATAATAATAATAATAAATAAATAATTGAAGTTTGAACAAAGAATTATTACCCCCCAAGAGACGAATCAGAATGTTCTGGTATAGTGTCTTTGCCTTCAGCTTCTTTGGAACTTCCCTTGCCATGTCGATTCTGCAGCAAAATATATAAATATAGTAAATGCAGTGTATAAACAATTTTTTATATTTTCTCCGAACAATTATTATCCCATAAATACCGTCAATGATATTTAAAAAAAAAATTAAAAAAATTGAAGTACCAAAACAACACTCTGCATAAAATCCTTGTATTTCTCAGGTGCGTGTGCTTTCACTGCAGGGGAACCACACTTCCTCATCAAAATCTCTAAGATCACGATAATCTGTTGTAAAAATAAACGAGCATCTTAGTTCCACTACAAACAATTCAGACCAACATTTTAGATAACACTTGGTTTATTTGCAAGTAGGGAAAACACACCTTGGTTTTGAAATGGCAGTGGTGGACAGATTTCCATCGCAGAATTCCATCGACAATGTCGGGAAGAAAACGATGCAGGTCACTTGGTTTAAGAGACGAAACCAACACTTTGACAAAGCCCAAAACAGCCTGTTCAAATGTTAGAACCGAGATTCCCCGTCAGCATATAGAAAAATGACAAAAACCCAAAGGCATGGAGAAAACTCACTTACTTTTATAACCTCAATGGCCTTGCTGTGCAATAACTCCATAACAGCGGGGAATAGATCAGGCGTTTTGGTGCATATATCGGGATCGCTGTAAACCAATACCGAGAGTACAGACACCACTCCGCTCTTTATATGGGGAGACGGACCAGAAAGGTAACCCGTAATCTGCACATATCAACATCATCATAGAGCATTATAACAATGACATCTTTTAAAGCGTTTATAAGGATGTAAACTATGTGATGTGTGCTGTGGGGGGTGGGGTTGGGGGGGGGGGGGGGGGGGGGGCCTTTTCCCCGGGGGAAAATTTGGGAAAAAAACCCCCCAAAAAAAAAATCAAAAAAAACAACAAAATTGAAACTTTCCCCGTTTAAAGAACCGAAAGTGGTTTTCCGGCCTTTTCGCCGGGATGGAGTTGAAAAAAAATAAGGTTTCCCGAAAAAAAAAAACGTTTTTTTTCCAGGATAAAACCAAAAGGGGAAGAGCCCTTTCCTTAATCCTTCAACGTGAGAATAATCTCGTTCAGGATAAGGAAAGCTGTGTATCTCCCCATCTGTGTTTCTCTGCACGTTAGAAAAAAAATAAAACTTAAATAGACGAATTCGTCTTATGAGCCCAAAGACCCATGAACAAGCGAAACCGGAAAATACGATCAGGTAATAAATCAATTTATCAGATCTAACAAGTGCCAAATGTCCAGAATAGCTGAAACCTACCATTAAAGCATGAATCAACAAGGTCTGCAAACAGGCAAAACGATTTTCAAGCAACGTGACATTAGCTGAAGACTTTGTTCCAGTGAACAAATCCATCACCACATCAAATTGTGACGAGCAGAACCAAGAATGCGTCTGCACAAAAAGTAGCAGCATAAGCACAAGTGAATCTTTTTTTCTACGAAAAGGTATAAACGGAAAGAATACTACAAAAAAACACCTCAAGAATTCTGCTGAGAGTTCGATATGCTTCAATCTGACCGACCTCATCGCTCGCCTAGAATCCAAAATGTACAGACTTTATAACAGCATAACCCATAAAATATTGTAGACAGACACTAAAGTAATGGGCACCAGCTAACCTTCAAAGCACACTTAATAACAGAAAAGAGTATATCAACAAGATCACTGTCGGATCCTTCGATAATGCAAGACGCGAGATCCAGAATTATAAGCCTTCAGAAAAAAAGACAGATTGACAACGTCGTCAAATATGAAGTAATGGCATAACAAGAATGAAGTAAAGTTGAAATGTATGCATCAGCATACAACTGAAATAAGAAAGTTGCTGTAACCTCTTTGCATTGGTTCCCCTACTTTCTTTTTCATTGGTTGAACCATCAGTATCAGACTCCACTTCTCCATGTTCGCGGATATCATCTAGAAGCTTAAACTTCTCAAGTGAGGCTATAAAAATATCTTTTATGACTGAAGCCTCACATATGGACACCAAGCATCCAATTGCACCCTACGTGTTTATGATTTTGAATGATTAGTTAAATTTAACTTATGGGAATGATGAAAAATACGTTCTACTAAACAATTAATAAATGAAGCTACCTTTAGATGTTTGCGTATCTCGGGGGGGCTCTGAAATAAGACACTGATTAAAGGCTGGAGCAACTTTTTGGCACACAAAGCCAAAGCCTTAATATTTTTCTTTGCAATCTTTCTTGAGTGCGAACTCTTTGTGTCAGGATTCATTGCCAATTCATCATGAATTTCTGTCGTTTGAACTTCTGTCAACTGCACAGATTCCGGATTAGTGGCAAGTGCACTCTTATTTTCATTGACTAGCTCCTACATGAGAAAACAAAAACCATTCGAACTATTAGGTTGTTATATAACAAAGTAACAAATATAGAATGAGGCAGAAAATTAAACATACCTGCAAACCAGTAGCGATAATCTCAAGCATAAAGGAGCCCTCTTTGATAAAAGGGATTAAGAGTTTGACTAGAGCTCTAACATTTTGAGAAGTATCACTTGCTTGGTGACAAAAAGCAGGCAACAATCCCCAACAAGCATGGGCGTAAGCCTGCAGATCTCGGCGAATTACTGACTTTTTAACTGGAAAGGAGCAAAATTTTAAATTCCAGGTATAGGAAAATATCCCAGTTCAACAGGGCTTCAGCATATAAGTGAAGTTGCATAGACTAAAGCAGACAGGTACAAAACTTCGCATATGAATTTAGCATACACCCTTACATCTTTTATTAACTTACGTAGTGCAAAAAGTTAACTATACGGTGGTGGCAATTATACCTAGCTCACCTCAATTTGAAATATAGACAGTGACAAATATTTCAGTAATATCGCAATCTAGAGATCAATAGTTTTCCCATTTGAAGATACAATCTCCAAGTAGAATTTCATGCAGTTAGGGCATCAAAATAATTCAGTGAAGTATGCCATTAACCAGGAAGTAATTGCAAAAAACTTTTAAATGTTATCGGTATACCTTTATGAGATCCCTTCTCAAAGGATTCAGCAAGAGGTATGATGTGCTCCATAAAGAACTGCAGTGATGATCCAACAATATTTTTCTTTAATATTGGTATTAACCAGGTATTTGAACCGGAACAATCTTTAGCGCTGAAGGAAATCGGGAGTGAAGCAAGTATTTTCTCCGGCCCCATGGCAGCAACAGCAGACCCAATGCAGTCCTGAAGCTGGGAAAACAAAAAGATGATCTCAGCAGAAACAGACAAACTAGTACACGGTCAGAATTCAACTGCTAAACCTGAATACCTGATAAAATATCTGATAAGAAATATGAGATCAACTCACATAAAGAAAGATTCCATCTAAATCAACAACCAAGGAGGAATATGGATAAAAAAAAAATCACGGGTACGTCTTCAAATAAGTGCATCACAAGACTCAGTTTGACTTGCTACAAGATGATCTTAATTAACAAAAAATGAGATTTATGTTTGATATTCGAGCTCCATGAATACTTACTGTTTTAATTTCAGAAGCTTCTGCAGAACTAGCATTCACCAAATCAGCAAGTTTAAGAAGTATAGGCTTCATAAAGACGTCTGATACTCGACCTGGAAAAGATGATTTTGAAAGACCATTAACAGATAGAACAAAACAGACAAAAAAAAATCGAAGATTACAGTTGAAGGACGATCAGTACTGAAGAAAGTGTGTCCAACATTAAGAACTAATGATGGCTTGCACACAAGCAATTATTCCTAAAATTACAGTAACTGTGCTGCAAATGCAATACTTTTAAATATAGTTTTTCCATACACACACAATTCATGGCAAGGATTAGTCCAAAAAGCCAACTACACTAAAATAATAATGTCAGCATTTTACAGGATTCTAAAATATATTAACCAGAATTGACTGATCTAATGCCCGAAAATAATTGCACATAGCAGAAAGGGAAGGGAAAATAGTTATAAAAGACATTGACACGGAAAATAGTTATAAAAGACATTGACGTGATAATACGATGCACAGTTGGAGAACAAATCCTTAAGGTCTACTTACCAAGTTTGACGAACAGAAAAGCTACCACAGAGAAGAAATGTTCATTCGGAATTTGAGCCGAAGCACTCAACACATTGTAGAAAGTGGTGCATGTAGTTTCCATGGCTTTGAACTCTGCACTCTGAGTTGTCACGCCTTCCATTTCTTGGCTTTCAATGGTCAATAAGCTTTTTCCATCGATATGATGGTCTATTAGTTCTCTAAGTATAATGGAGGTCGGTAAAGCAACATCACCATTGGAAGATAGAAGGCCTGATGGGAAACGACAGAGAGTTAGTTTTAAACAGTACTCCTACAAGAAAACTAAAGAAACAGATTTTTGCTGTCTGAATAAGGTAGAAGAAATTAAACCATCCTTTTTACAATTAGTTTTAATAAGCAGATAATCTACGTCAGGAACAAGTGCAGCTGCCTGGAAAGGCTGCAAAAGAGAGAATAGAAAGAAAAAATCTAAAACATAGAACACGTACCTGCTAACGATTCAGTGAGCATAGCAAAATTGGTTGTCCATTCGTTTATATCCCCATCATGAAGTTTGGCTAAAGCAGTTTTCGCTAAATTTGCGGCAAACAATACACTGTCAACTGGATTGTTTTCTCTAGATGATATGTAGGAAACCAGTGACCCAAAAATCTCCTCGGCATTCGAAATTATAACATCAGCTCCCGAAATTTCAAATACAGCCGAAATAACATCAAAAATGTGTCTTGTCATCGTTGAGAAACGAGAGCCCAAAATCTTCAAAAGCTGTGAAAGAATCTTGACGCGGATTTTAGGAGAGAGGTGTTGAACAACATGCTTCGTCACATTCAACAGATAAAGGAAGTTCTGATGTTCGGGCTTTGACATTGCTTCGGATTTGGCTCCATCGACGATTTCTGAAGTGGTCATTTCTTTGGCCAAAGGCATTTGATCTTTGAGCAAAAGGTATATCGATTTACTTGCCTTGTTGAGCATAGCAGAGGATTCGAACGACTTGAAAACTGTCAAGAAACAATCATGAGCACATTTCCTCACCTGAAACAAGTTACGGACCATGATCATGAATTCATCGTATCTCCTTGTCCAGGTAAAACTTCATAAAAACATGTCCGATCGAGAAACGATAGAGACTTAATTTTGAACATAAATTATAAACTGATCCAATTTCGTACTATGACAGACAATTTTATTTAACAGTTTGATGAAATTACACTTTCTCTCATTCATATCAACTCATACGAATTCCTCCAGCCTTGGACTGAATTAAAGAGTTAGGCAATTTTCGATAATGTAGAAGAAAAAAAAAGGTTAATTACACAAACCTTGGGCCGTTTATCGAGGGAGAATTTCACAAGCCACTCGAACCCTAGCGCAACCGAGTCCCACTCGTTCGAATTGCAGAACTCAGCAACCAAAACACCGACGCATTTGACCACAGCTCTAACACCAGAAGTTCCCAAGTTACCATTCTCCTCAACTGTGGTAACCAGAATCCTAACAGACTCCCCCGCTTTCTCCGGGTTTATTTCACCCCTACCAACTAACGGGAGCACGATTGCTAGGAACGAGGTTAGCGCGCCAAGAGCATTTGAGTCGAGGTTTTCGGAGTCGGAAAGAGAAGTGATGGTGGCGGCGAAGTATGATATGGGAGTAAGGGGAAGAGAAGAGGATTGGATGATGTCTCGGGTGGCGGCGGCGGTGGCGCAGAGATGGCGGTGCTGCGCGGCTGATGAGCGGGCGTAGCGGGTTAATAGCTGTTGGCATATGTCACTGTTTGCATTGAAAGATTGGGTGTCTTCTGCCGCGTTATCGTCCATTGCGGTGGTAGAGGAACAATCTGACACGGCGGCGGTGCGGTGGCGGAAGATAAAGAGGTCGACAGTGGTATAGGGTTTAAGAAAAAGGGTTTTTGGGGCAGTTTTATTAGTTTTATGGGTGCAACTATTTTTCTTAATAATAATGGCAAATTACGGTCACCTCCCTGAGGTATGGTCAAATTACGAAAAAAACCACTCTTATTTGAGTAATTACAGTCATCTCTCATTTTCAATATTTTTACATAAAATTTATGTAATTTGGTGATTTACCGAACCAAATTGTATATTTAGTTCGGTAAACGGAATGAATACCGAAATTTCGGTTATTTTTTCGTAAGATTAGTCGAGGGAGCTATAATTACCCAAATAGGATAGGGATTTTCGTGATTTGACCATAACTCAGGTGTGATCATAATTTGCCCTAACAATAATAATTATTATAATAATAATAAAATAAAAAAATTTCTCAAAGAAAAAGGAAAAAAATAAAAAAAATAAAAAGAAAAAGAAAAGAAAAAAAGAAAAAAAAACATCACTAATCAAACGCTTCATATTTGGGCTGCAGGACTGCGGAATGAGGCCCATATATTTTAACACGATCCACATTCTATTTTGTACGAATTTCCCAAATTGTAATAAAAGGCCAATTTTATGGCCCAAAGTTGATATATTATTTTTTAAAAGTGAAACATCGTAATTATGGTCGATTTAGACCCCATTTGGCTAAGTTTATTATAAACAGCTAATAAGTTCTGAATTCTGATAAGATATTGTAAGAGATAATAAGTTGTTACGTCTTATTTTAAAAGTTAATTTATAAAGTGTTTTGATAATGAATTTTAAAGTTATTTTTACTCATTATAAGATTTTAAATAAAAATGTTGAGTAGAGGTACTATTTAAAAAAAAATCTTAAAAGTTCTTCAGCAACTTTTTTTTGAATTCTTGAGATATTTTCTAAAAAATTACCAAATACTTTAGAAGAGCTTATAAGCTCATATAAACTATTTTTAACAACTTATAAACTTAACCAAACACCCCTTTTAGTCCCTTCGTTTTCTTTATTTTTCTTTCTTGATTAAATATGATTGACATTGTAGACAAAGCCTAATCCAAGTTTCCAAACACATGGGCTCAAAGTATTTTAAGTACAAATATTTATTTTAGGTAAAGATAATTTGTTGATGAATTATAGTTATAGGTATTGTATTCATTGCTATATATAGTTAGGTCATTCATTGGGGGCCATGAATCTTAAATTCAACGTGGGGTTTTTTTTTCCAGTTGGTGGGAGATGAATGTACCATCAGACAAGACTCACTAACTTATAGTACAATTATATTTTTGCAATAATTCAAGATTTTTACATATGTCTAGCCACCGACAATAATAAAAATAATATTTGCAACTCCTACTTTTAATTAACATATGTCCAAAGATTAATTGTAGCATTTTCAATTAGTATTTAAAACATGGTGCTACAAATTATTAAATGCAATAAAAACCAATGTGAAACCATGGAATTTCTAGTTAGAGTGTTGGCACATGTTTCATGAAGAAAATTCAACTATGTTTTACATAGTCAAGTCCAAAAAACAGGACATGATGTGTGGATGTGTAAGTTTTGGTACTACACAACACTAGTCCGAAAACTTCGATAAATAGCACCTGACCCCCCTGTAGTTTCAATATTTTGCATATGAGTTATTTGTACTTTCAATTAAGCACATGATTTCCCTTTACTTTTAATGTAAGCACATAACTCTCTTATGGTAATACTTCACTAGGCAAATAATCATGTTCATTAGGAAGATAATTTTTTTGAAATTATTAGAGGGTCATATATTTATATTGAAAGTTCATTTGTGTTCAGCTCGATTAAAATCGTTCAATCTCAACTTATTGTTCATCAAACAAAACCAAACATAACTTCAAAATATTGATAAAATTTAAACAAGCTCGAACAACTGTGCATTCAGGTCGACCTAATCTAAATACTTTTTTTTCTTTGGCTCTAAGAAAAAGATTAATTAGTTAATGAAGAATGTGAATTCTATATTCCAAAGGTCAAAATCATTTAAAGTACTTTATTCCCCCCTTATTTTAAAGTCGGCTCTTTTCTCTTTAAGAAATGAAAGTTCTCATAACTTTCTTAACATGGATAAACAACACTTTCTTACTTCACAACCTGTTTGCTTAATAACCTTAAACATATACTAATCACCCCACTAATCCACTTCTCCCAATAAACCAAAAAGCTCCTCACACTCAATTAATATGCGAATATATACACACGCATATATAAAGACACACTTATAGCAATATAATATTGTGTGTGTGTGTGTGAGAGAGAGAGAGAGAGAGAGATGAAGAAAGAAGAAGAAACTGAGGATCCAAAATAAAGATTGAATTTTTTTTGTCACTGTGTGTGTGTGTGTGAGAGAGAGAGAGAGAGAGATTTAAAATAAAGAAAGCATGGGAATGGGATTGATAACAAAGAGCAAGAGCAGCAATAGTAGTGAAGGCTGGGGAATGGGTTTCCTCTTAGTTTTCTTCCCGGAGGAACACCACCACCAAAATCAAGAACAAGAAACCACCCCCACCGCCGCCGCCGCCGCCGCCACCACCAACAAAAAACCCAACAATTTCAATCTTTTCCCAAACTCATCATCACCACTCAGGCGCAACAATTCGAACCACCACCTCCTAAACAAAGCCCAATCCACAATCTCCATCTGCTTGCTCCTCCTCTTCACAACCCTACTCCTCTTCACCCTCTCCACCCTACCCTCCTCCGCCGCCACCACCGCCGCCGCCGCCCGCCGCCATCTCTACAGAATCCCCAGGAGGCACCTCTCTTCACGACCCGATGAACCCTCTTCTTTACTATCTTCCTCTTCGGGTTCAAATTTATCGCATGCATTACAAGGAATGGGCAACTTATACAGAAGAGGAAGCAGAGCAATGAGCGAACTCGTGGTGGCTCATGCAACTGAGTCGCTCACACCCAACGAGTTGAAACTGTTCCTCAGGCTCTTCCACCGATCCACCCTCGCTTCAAGATCGGATCTTTTGCTCTTGTTCCCGTCAAAAATGGGTTCTTTCGATACCACGATTCTCGGAGAGAACGAGTCGTTCTTCAAACTCCTGACTCAGTACAAATCGAGCAACAATTCCCACTCCTCCGCGAGTTTCGACGTGACCCATTTCATGAAATTGAGTAAAAAGGAGAGAGAAAGCGGAGAGCCAATCTGGGGTCGAAGAATTCGAAGCAATTCCAGCGAAGAAGACGCGACTGAGTCAACTCGTCCGAGTTACGGCTCGGTGCTGGGTTTCGACGTGGAGGAACTCGACCCGGAGAATTCTCTCTCCGGGTTCTTGGACCACGTTCCGATGAGTTTGCGGAGATGGGCTTGTTACCCGATGCTATTGGGTCGTGTCCGAAGAAACTTCAAGCACGTAATGTTAGTTGACGTGAAGGAGTACTTGCTACTCGGTGATCCACTCGGCCGAGTCAGGAGTCAAAGCCCCGAGTCGGTTCTACTGACTCAATCAGTATCCGGCAAGCATGGGAGGAGAACTCAGGCGACCCGGCAGAAAACGGTCAACCCGGGTATTGTAATGGGCGGGTCGAGAGGGGTCCGCAGATTGTCAAACGCAATGCTGACCGATATTGTCAGAGCGTCCATGCAACACAGGAAGAAGAACTCGATTACCGAGTCGGGTCTTTTTACTCAACTCGTTGGGAACGAGTTTGTGCTGAAGAATGTGAACGTGGTTGTGTCTACTGAGTCGGTGCCCGATCTGAGTTCACTCAGTGGGTCGAACTCGAAATCGGGCTTTCTTGCGAAGAATAATGCCTTGATTAGACGAGGTAATAGTAATTTGGATGCTAATTCTGTTGTAATGAAGCATATTTGCTCGTTTCCAATAGATTCCACAGTTTATAGTGATTGTTAATTAGTTGTGGATTGTTTAATTATATCCTTAAAATGGATATTATAGATTCTTTTTCTTGGGTTTTTATTTATAGTTTATAGAATTTGTTCATAACACATTTGTAATAAATTTTTATATAAAAAAAAAAAAAGAATTAAGTTTTGATTATTTTAGTTGTCAATTTTTTATTTTTTTTTTATTTTTATAAATATGTTTTTAGTGTTTGTGTTCATTCTTAGAAACAAGTTTTTTACTCCGATTTCTGAAATTTCCGATTTTTTTTTTTTTAAATCAACTTCCGAAGAAAATAAAATATATTTTCAAAAATATTAATTCCGATCCTATGGATATCCACCCCAGCTATAACAAATATTTGTGTTAGATCGTGTCTTTTAAGTATTATTTAATTGGAAAAAAAAAATCATTTAAGTGACAAGAAAATTAATTGGGAGAAAATAGGGAAAAAATCAAGAAATAAATATGATATAGTTATACAACTGTCACCTAGAAACGGTAACAGTCAAATCAGAAGCGGCAGTGACCGGGTCAAAATTGATGATATACAACTACAAGAGGAGCTGCCTGTGAGCTTTCACAGTGCATTCATTACCGCCTGTCATAATAATCACGCACCTTTGATTTGCAAACCGAATTTATAATTATTGAATTCATTAAAAAATGAATAAAAGGACTTTCTTTTTGGGTAAATTACAAAACCCCCCTTAGCTTAGGATAAATTATGATAAACACTCTCATCTATCCGTAATAAATAAAATTCTCCTGATGTTTGTTTTCGTCTTACACCGACCCCTTATGGCGTGATTTCTCATGGAAAAAAATTTATACCAGAGAATACTCCAAAAAAAATGCCGATTCTACCCCTGTAAACGCAAAACAAATTGAAGGTAGTCATGTATAAAAAATGTCTATGTATGCTATGATGGTTCGTACTAGTAATCCAGAAATTAGGGTCATTGCAATGTGATGTTGCAGAAAATGAGGTTGCTTCATAAGGTATACCAAGGCATTTTTCGTGAAATATTCCCTAAAATAAAGAAGATTCCGTGGAAAGTCACACCATAAGAGGATCGGTGTGAGAAGAAAACAAACATCGTGAAAAATTTAGTAATTACAGATAACTGGAGTTGTATTTCGTAATTTAGCATAAATTCAGTGGTGTTTTTGTAATTTACCATTTCCTTTTCTTCTTTTACTAATAATCTCGAGTATATTTAATTAATTTTAATTTGCTATTTGGATGAGAAGTCAATTTATTTAATCTAAAAAAGAATCGAGTTTTCCAAGATGTCTTTTGCAGGCAAAGTTGATCAAACAAATTGACTGCAAATTAATATTGAAGACTGAGCTTTGCGTTTTTAACAAAAACGCACTTTGACATTGTTTTGATTTTTTGATAAATTTGGGTGTATTAAATATTGCCCATCTTTTTATCAAAAATAAATAAATAATAATAACAAATAAATATTGCCATCTTGGTGTCAATTAAATAGCTTCATTTTGATGACTTTTTAGGCAAAGTTCACATTATCAATTTTCAATTAGTATTTCATTTATTATTCCCTTTCGTTCCCTATTAAGTGTCGCTTTTGGCTTTGCACAAGGATTAAGAAGCTCAATAAATGTTTCTTGATTTTAGGTATAATATATTAGAAAGACTAAAATAAACTTGATTATTTAATGATGTGATAAGAGAGAATTAATACTTATAGTTGAATTAATAAGGTTAAAACAGGAAAAAATACATTTAATGCAGTATTGGAAATTTAAAGTGACATATAATATAGAACAAAAATATTTTTAAAAAGAGACAATTATTGTGGAACAGAGGGAATAATATACATGGAATATAACTTTTTTTTTTAAATGATAATTTATGATACCACTTACCTTAAAATAATGAGCTAAATAGACTATACAAGTAAATTAGTGGATTTTTTTTACTAGAGAATGAATTACTAAAAAAATTAATTGGCTTATAATATTTAGCTAATGTGATCGTCCCATTAATTTAACGGACTTATAATTTTTAATAATTAATGTGATTGACCCATTAACTTTATTTTTTAACTACCCTCCTGATGTATGACGTAATTACGAACACATTATTATTGTTTGTACTATTACAACCACCATCCTGAGGTGTACTTGCGCGCCTAACAAATGTACCCTCACAGAGTTAACGATAGCAGAATAAATATATTTTCCAAAAGAATATGATAATTAATAAAAATGTTCATCTCACTTATAAAAATAAAATAATGTAATTATTGTGAATTAGTGGGAGTGTTAGGCAATTAAATAATAATTGAGGGGTGCATAAGTCACGGAGGGAATGTGAGGCAACTATACATAGGGAGGCGGGAGCGCGCATTTATTGAGTCCACGTGCAAAACAGCCTAACGCGCTTAGAACCGATAAAACGTGGTTTACAATTATACCCTCTTTATACTTTTTCTCGACTTTTTAACCCCCATCCACCATTAAACCCAAAATCTTAACTATGATAATTCAACTCTGCATCTCGTTAATATTAAAAAATATAGAATTTTAATAATTTATATACATTATTAGTGTTAATTGACTTACACTCCAAACAGTCAGTCCATGCACTCTTGAGATTAGTGAAAGGGATTATCCCATAATCACAGTGATTTACTAATTAATTAATTAGTCATGCGCGTAAGTTACGGCGAGTAACAAATTTATATTAGCACTAACTAAATAGTAACTACATTTATTTTATAGTGCAAAACAGAGATTAAAACTTGTACTAAAAGGTAACACGATTAAAATAAATCAATTTGATAAAATAAAAAATCAATTAATAATAATAAAAAAAAAAAAAAACATTATTGCGAATATACTATATTTCAAGAAATGAGATATATACACAGAAAAATACAAAAATAATTATGGGTTCAATTTCAATGAATTAATTAGGTGTTGCATTCAGGTGGGGCTAAAAATTGGTGCTAGCTGTTTTATTATTTTTATTTTTTAATCATCAATTATTGCAAACCAATTACTTTCCCCACTATTCCAACCGTTAACTGCATAAAACACTTATACCCTCCATTTTTCTTATTTTTTTTTTTTTGATAGAAATCCATTTTTCTTATTTATCTTAAGAAAATAAATAAATTATATATGGGAAATAGTAGTATATTTTCTACCTTGCTTAAAGGGTACTATTGTAACTTCACTTGCACGGTCATGCTAAGATGACTGGACCATGATTTTCCATTTCATCTTATACAACACTCAAGCATGGTAATAAAAAAAAAAAAAATTAACAAAAAGGGCACCGCCAAAAATAATGATTTCCACTTGTCGATATTTCATTGGTCGACTCCTATTTATTTATCTCTTTATTTTTTTGTGTATATATATATAATAACAATATATAGGGGCATATATAATAAATAATATAAGCACAGTATAGTTATGTGATCCCCATATTGTGGGGGACAAATTTTGTGAAGATTTTGGAATCCAAAGTTTTTTTTTCCTTTTTTCTAGTGGACTTTAGAAGAAGCCATATATATTATTTTGTGAGTCTAGAGAGACATAACAATTTTACAAGTGACCCCATTATAGTTGCTCAAACAACAAGTAACTTTCAATATGCATGTAGATAGAGAGATCATGTGTGTGTTTTTGTGTGTGTGTGTGTGTGTGAGAGAGAGAGAGAGAGAGAGAGAGAGAGAGAGAGAGGGAGGTCCAAACCCCCACACTATACAACTAATAAGAAAAACTTTATGATATTGGTTTCATTTTTCAAGTGCTTGCATAGTGCATAGTTGAATTTTTACATTAATTATTCCTAATTGACAATTTTGCCACCTCATTTTCTTCCGGTTTACTGGTTTTTTTTACTTGGCGCTTCATACGAATTAAGAAGTAAAAATAAGTCACGCAAGGGATCGAATGACCTAGCAGTTGGAGCAAGTGAACTTGTGTCAACTGACTGAAGCTCAGAAAAAAAAAAATAAAGAAGCAAAAATAATAAGTTTAGATATTTTATATAATAAAGATTATTAATTGAAATTGGAGGATGAAAATATTTATGTGTATATATAATAAATTAGGACCTACATGCATCAATCCATCATTAATATTGTCCATTGAATTTGAAAATGCAAACAAAATAAAATCTAAAGGCCACCCCCCACATGAATTTTAGTGCCGTATCATGCCAAAATTACACACACGCACACACATTGGTGTGTGTGTTTTTTTACGAAGTTTAGAGTCGAGGATTTGTTTGCAAGTCTGTATATTTTTATCGTTATTATCTTTTTATTTGCCTAATAGTTATATCTTTCTACAAACAATTTAAAGACATGATTTAAATAATTTGTTATAATCCACAAATTAAAAGGGAAAATAAATAATTATATATTATTTCGAATTTGTAGTTGTTGATAGTGACTTCATTTTCACGGCACGGGTAGCATATGAAACGTAGGCTGCGATTATAAATTACTATTTATTTAATAATTAATTCACGTGATTTATATAAGACTTCTTTTGTATGCATTTTGTCATGTGAACGAAGTAGCCACGTCACCACCCTATATAGCTAAACGTATGTAAATTAATAAAATTCTACTAATTTTTCAAAATATTAAATTATTGGACTAATATTTAATACATTTTTTTTCATGAATGTGGACCAAGAGAAGTTAGTTTTTAAACGAGATTATTAATTTATCGGGTTCTGTATTTGATCGAACACGCTCGTAATACATACCAATATAGAAACAAAAAACAAGATGACTAATGCCAACCAAAAAGGAGCAATAATTAAAAAAAAATAAAAAAAAAATAAGAGTGATTGTAGCCAATTATAATGATAAGCATCATCACTCTTAATCATATGAAATGATGGTTGGTGTGGATAAGCTTTTTATACTAATTAAGATGCCTTCTTAGCAAAATTCCCAAAGCATTAGGGGCCTCACCATTAAAATACAAAAGAAAAGAACCCACAACAATATTTAATTGTAATAAAACAAATCATTAAGATTAACATCAAATTTGTGTGGTCTTCTAACAATTAAGGGTTCCTTCGATCCTACATCCGGTGAAAAACACCGGGTGAGTCTTCTGCTGCCACGTGTTCTTTTTCTTATTTTTCTAAAACCTCTAGAGGTAAACCCTAGCCGGGAATTTATTATAAAATACAAAAAAGAGACACGTGGCAGCAGAAGACCCACCCGATGTTTTTCACCGGGTGTAGAGTCGAACAAATCACAATTAAGATACCTCCAAAACATGCAACTAGGGCTACTTATGACTACTTATGAGGTGTTTTTTTTTATGGTCATTCAGATGCTACACTCGATCAGATACAGCTGGTGATATACGTATGTGTGTGCATGTATTTGTAATTATGTGCAGATCAACAGTTAATAATCACACAGTTTATATCACCGAGTGTAGCATCAGATAAATCGATTTCTTGATCATCTTGCCGTGGTTAACGGTTAATTATTGATCAAATCAACAATTTCCCAAAATGCCATAAATCTTATATGTTACAAACTATGATTGTAAAAAGTAGCAAACATATAATAATAATAATAATAATTCAAACCAATATCAAGAACCAAAGGTATAGATATTCATAGAATCTGAAGACAAACAGCTTAATTTACATTCCTTAGCATGTACAAATGCAATACATATACACCCTTCTAACTCGAAAAATAAAATAAAAATAATATAAATGATTAAAAGGATGAAGAAAGAAAGGGGAGAGAACTTCAGCAATAAACAAACCGGGATACAGACCACAACCGAAATCAAAGAATTTTTAATCTTGTCTTAAAACTAAAATCTGGGATCATGGGCACATATAGAAGTAGTTGAAGACGAGACTGACAAAAAACAACGATCACTCTTCAAGGCAGAATATAAAAAAGAAAAAAATTATAGATAATTGATCCAAGCAAGATGACCCGTAAAAGTAGGCGGCATTGGGATTATAGATATGATGAGGAACAAACGAAAAAAACTTGCAGGTGAAGGGAGAAAACAACACAGTTTGCAAATCGGCTTTTTTTTTTAGAAGAGATCGGCTTTCTTTTTTATCATATCCTGCTTCCATTTCGGCATCTTATAGAAAGCGTCTTTTGGCATTCCCATCACAGACTCGAATTCTTCATCAGAAAGATAAGCCTGAAAGAAATCGGTGGAAGATGTAAGAACATAATTAAAAATAAATAAAAAACGAAACAGATATATATATGTTGACGGCAATAACATACCTCTCTTCGTTTAAAATCAATCCCAGTAACAGGGTTCTCAGACTTGGCCTTCAATTGATCATAGCTAAATGTACTCAGATTAGAATCAGAGACGTTTTCATCCTGGTCAATCTCTGGCTTTGATCCTGACTCCTCCCCATCGGTTTCTGGGGCTGGCACAACTGTCTCGTTTTTCGAGCCCTCGGTCTCAATAGTATCTTCATATTTCACATGAGCTATTGACAAAAAAAACCATTTTACGAAGTATCTAGGAATAATAAAAATCAAAGTGATAACAACTCAGTTTCTGGTCAGATAACAAACTAAACTCAGCCTTTGGTTGGAAATCTACATTTGGAGCAAACCAATCATATATTTTGTCATAACGGCATGGAATACGAGACAGTGAAGCGAAATTAAAGTGGTAGGGGAATGAATATATCCCCACAAAACTGGAAACTATCGTAATCATGGGAGAACATTAAGGCATATTCAGCTAAATCTTCAATAACATCGTTTTGTAGCCATTAAACGGAAGAAAGAAAGAACAAGTTATTCGTTGCATGTAACCTTTAAGCCTAATTTAGGGATGAAAATGCTGCAAATGACTCATGTTAACGAAAGCAGAAAATATTCGAAGTACCACAGAAAAAATATTCATAGTACCAGGTGGGCTAGCTTCTGCAGGTGGACTTCTACTTGGCCTAGCAGGAGAGACTTCGCGCGATTTTGTTTCGGCAGTCAGAACATTTGATAAAGCCGCCACTGCAGCTGCTCTCTGCGACCCTTGACCTTTTCCGCCCGACCTTGGGGCAGAACCAGCTTTTGGAGATGAAGATGAACTGAATGCAGAGTTCAAAGCAGCTAAAGCTGAAGCTCTTTGAGTTGGCCCCCCATTATTTGAACCATTGGATCTCTCCTGATTGATTTGCAGACAGATGAAATCAAGTCAATTAAATATCAAGCCAAATCCTGTACTTAACAATAGAGGAAAAATAAAATAATATAGATATTTGACAAACCAAAATAGAAGTTAGCGAATGTCTTAAGAAAGATTCAAAGATTAGCACAAGAACGATATGAAACAAAACTGAACTGCCAATGACAATTTTCAGTAGGAACTATTCTGATATCCTCTTTCTATTTAAAACATGATCAACAGACATAATAAAAGAGTGGCACAAATTGCTGAAAATACACTTGAAACACAAGATATTGAAAATAACGACAGTCAAGCATGTGAATTTGTGCTGCTGTAAGTTTACCTCTGCACCATGACCACCAAAGAGTAGCATGACCTTCTTTTGGAAAGAGTTTCCATGTGCCTGTTATTGGAGGGAAATAAAAACAATCAGTAACAGGGGCAAATATGTAATTAGCATGGTATGCAAAGTAAGTTTTCGCTACAGCTGAAGGATCAAAAAATCTCGAACACATCAAGATCTCATGTAGCCAATGGCCAAATTTATTCTAAGAGAACTAATATCATGTAATTACACCCATCCAATTAATGACTAAATAAATCTATGAAAACAAAGAACTATAAGTGTGTTAATAGGCATGAACAATGCCGGAAAGTGAAATGATTTTTCCATCAGTATTCTCATCATCATGCATGCCATGGATCATTATCCAATATACATGATAATCTATAAATTCAGAGGCACGGGAATTATGTCTCACAGCTTGTTTGCAACAAAATCCCACGACAAACAGGAAATATCATTATAACACTCAAGAAAGAGACTAATATTTTCAACATACACTAGCTTTAGCGGTATCCCATGAAAAATATGTGGTGAAGAAGCATGGCTCGTTTCCTTCCGTCACTTTATATAATGGAACATATGGGGGTAAACCCTCCAGTGAAGCAGCCATCTCGACATATTTCTGTGATAAGCTTAACAGGTCAGTAGAACCCAGATGGAAGAACATTAACAATTTAAAATTTAACAATACCTGTCCAATCTCAAAAGCATTTTGCTTCTCTTTGGAGTCCACAGAATGGCCAACCCAGACAAACACTTCAGCATGTGTATCGAGGATCAATATATCCTCTGTCAAGAGGTCATCTTGAGAGAAGTTGTATATTTCTTCCACCTGGTACATGAATATTATTTAGGAACACGTTTTTATAATTCACTAATAGCAAAACTGAACTTCTAAAATGATTTGTATCAAGTGTATACCTCAAACTTCCCTGGGAGTACATGTGGTAGCATATGCAATCAAAAGAGAAAAGGTTAGGGCAAGTCAAAAGTTAATACAATTCAAGATTTCAATAAAATAAAATCAACTTGGTTAGAGAGGAGAGTTGAGAAATAATAGCATGAAAAACGAATTGATACCTTTATTAAAGGAGAATGTAAACAAGTGAGGATCTCTGACAGCATCAGAAGGAAGCTTCTTACTGGTGTAACTTTGCTTTCCTCCGAGAGCAAACCAAAAGGATGAGCTTTCTGTTCCTTCTTTAGAGTGTTTTACTGTTGATCCAGGCTGAATTCAAGAGGATAGAGGAAGTTTAAGTTATCAATTGCAACAGAGGAGCTAAGACACTAGTTGAACGTCATATATAAAAGTGAACATCTATAAGTTACAATTCTAGGTGCAACAAGAAGAGGACAATTGGATTTCTAATGCCATTAGTTAGAAGCTCAGTGATGGCAAGACATAGCTAAACATTTGAACATTAGTTCAGTAACAAGAAATAACACGGACTGGATGATGATATTTTACAAATTAGAAGACTGCTAAGCAATAAACTGGAGATCTGATGTATTCTTCCGCTAATGCATACCTTCAGAAATTCCGCAATTTTGGCTGCTAGCTGTTGCTGCTCAAAGGTGCCTTGAGTACCATGCCAATTGAAAATTGAAGATCCAGATTGCAGCAGAAAACATTCATTTGAATTCAATGATGTTGCCACCTAATAGATTTAAGTTGATTAAAAGCAGAGTCGATGAAAGAACACAAAGGAAAGAACATTTTACTCAGTAATAAAAGTCAAATTGAAGCCAGTAAATTTCTTTTAAAGCATCAATATTTTGGTCCTACGGGACTAAAGAGAAACAAGAGGAATCTTTAATAAATTTCAGTTTTAAGACCCCACTTCAATGATACCAAAACAATTTGCAACATATTATTCATTTTGGTAGTAGTTTCTAGCTATCAGTTGACAAGTCCCTATGAAATGAGGGAGTAGCAGTTATATTCTATCCAACAGCTTAATAAGCACTAGCAGTTAACTGATTATATAACAGAGTATTAAGATCCTTCAACTCAGACAGGTATATGGAAAGTAAAGCTAGATTTTTTGTTTTGGGAGGTAGGGGCGCAAAAGAAGGTAAATCTCTGACAGAATAAAACAGAAAAAAATGAAGTTCAAGTACCATTGGCAAAAGAAAGCTGAAAAGTAATACTAATTAGACTAGAGGGTATATTGCTTGGCTACTCATGAAGTAACACAGGGAAACGCCTCCCGAAAACTAACAAATACCCAAAAGTCAACGGCCTCCCTTAAATCTCACATTATTAGCTACAATACTAATATGTAATAAGCTTTTTATTTCTTAACTCCAAGAATCAGTATTCCATTCCTAACTCGAGGCTAGTAAGTTGAATTGGACTTGAGGAGTCGAGGGTATACTATATTGTTTGCCCACTCATGAAGCAACACAGGAAAACGCCTCCCAAAAACTAAGAAATGCCCTCACTTGAATCTTGCACTATAAGTACAATCCTAATATATTATAAGCTTTTTATTGATCAACTCCAAAAATAAGTATTCCATTCTTTATCTTTCTAACCCGATGTTTACTTAAGGTTTAAGTTAATTAGACGCTTATGCAAAGTCACTAATAAGTTCAAAAGCATCTGGATAGGAGAGCAGAGCCTGATGTACTGTGGGGAAACAAATTAATGACTTAAACATTAAACAAATGTTAAATCATGCGTAAGGGAATGATCAATCTAAGAGTCGGATATTAGAAAACCAAACATAATCAAATATACCACAAACAGGTTGGTAAACTTACAGCTTCCACTTGAACAGCTTTATTGTTATGCGGAGATGTTCCAGATATGCGTATGAGTGCAACACCATCAGCAGTGTATGTTTCATCATTCAAACCTTTGTCAGCTATATAGTTCTTGTAACCAGAGCTCATTCCACCCTAATGGAACAATTTGAGATTGTCAGAAAAATGATTTACATATTAGGGGTTTTGTCTATAACTAGTTTAATTTCACTGTTTCTATTGTAAGTAGTGAAAGGAGCACCTTCAGAATCACCATAGGCTGAAAGATTGCGACAAACTGAGGAGGCTCTTTTCCTTGAAATATCCGACCCTGAAGGAAGTACAATTCATATATCAACTTCCTGTATTTCATTGTCTAATGTGGTAGACCATGAGAAGTATATCATTACCTGCACTGGTTTCCCCTTTAGTGAGTTATACATTGTCGTGGACAATTTAGCAGCCATCTGTCGGTCCTCCTGAAAATTGGGAACTCATTTATTAGCTCAGTTTTCTGAGCCATTCCAACTACCACTCGAAAGTCGACCAAAGATTTCAGATAAGTAAAAGCATCAGATTTTCTGACCCCAAAAGATTATACTGACTCGTTGAGAGCCGGAAGCAATTAAAATAGCATGTAGATAAACCACTGCCTCATATAACTTGTGGGTAGTGATGCTAGAACTGAAGCTTATGAAGTATACAGTTGATTCTGGTTACGTGATCAGAAGCAGCAAATTTACCGAACGCACAAAATTATAATATGATAAAATCAAAATCAGAAGAAAGCAAAACCCATGCCGTTTTACCTACTGATACAATGATAAACCTAAAAGTTTATATAATAATATAATTTGCATCACAGTATAATAACCGGAGCGGAATCTTTCTCCATCTCAAATCAAATGTCAAGAGTTTATAAAAGTTTGGCATGACAGCATATTAATACTATTTATTAGAAAGCCAGATTGCCTTCATATTATAGCCACTGCCAATTTTTAGTACCTCAATACTGTCTTTTCCGATCCAAGAACATAGGTAGTAATCTTCTTTTCTTTCATGAGAATGGTATGTGTAGAGCACAATATAGCAATCGCCGCTGTAAAATTTACCAACGTCTTCCTTAGGTACTGAAGTTTTGGCACTACTGTTAATGCACCAAACCTGAAAACATTCAACCATAAAATTTCAGGCAATTTGATGCTACATAGGTATGAGCAACCACAAATACATGACAGAAATTAGACCTCTGTCTTTCCACCTCCTTCAAGCAAGGGAGGGACTTCCTCATTTACAGGAGCACTTTTGCCCGTTCCTTTCACGGCACCACCTTGCTGCTTTAGCAAGGCTGCCAAAAAAAAAAAAAAAATCGGAAGAATTACACAATTTAGTAGACATGTCGAGTAAAAAATTAGTGAACAACTCAGGACTGAACATACCTGCTACTTTTCCCCTTCCCTCCTCAGCAACAGAAGGGGCTGATCCTGATGGCCAGGAATCAAAACTCGCCTTGAATGAATGTGTCTCATAACCTTGGATAAGCCGAGTTATATGTGTTGACTTCGGTCTATTTTGGCTAGTCACAAAATCCTGAAACATCATTTCGTTGAGATATTTAAATTAAGTTACTAAACTACAAGGATGTAAGTTGACCTTTTTTCCAATTTTACCTCTGCAGCTTGAATGGCAGCTTTCCTTTCATCAATTTGAGTTACTCGACCAACCCAAACAAACACCTCAGCACCACAATCCAACAAATAGCATTTGTTGTTTTCCAGAAGTGACTTCGAAAGTTCACCATCTATGCTATTAACTTGACCATCAATGATGCTGCCAACAAGCAAACCAGGGGAGGGAGGTTAAAGAGTTAAGTTGCTAGAGTCATAATCAAGCAACAAGGCAATTACTCTGGCAACGGGATTTAAGTACACAATTTCAAAATAATATAGCATGTACTTGCATGTAATAAACTATAACTTGATATACATATAAAAATAAAAAAAGTCGATAACCGGAAAAAAAAGAGTCTCTGTATGATAAAGAATGTTCAAGAACAAACCAAACCAAGCTACAGAACATAAGTCTGATCTTTGTAATCATAAATTAGTAATTATGTCATACGATGTGGTAAAACAGGTTACTAGAAATGCTGAACTTTAGTCAGTAAGTTTGAATTCATAAAGGTCGTTCTTCCTAAAATATCCAATCTAGACCTGCAAATAGAACTAAGTGACTTTCAATTGTGCAGAATGCCAAAATACCATAATTTAGACATTTCAAAACCACCCCCAAACAGATTTCACTCCAAACTACCTTGTCAAAAAAAATATAACAGTAATATAAGAAAGAGATCAGTGAGACGGATGACTAGTCAAAGAAACGTTGTGGTCATTTGGTATTTCGAGAATTTGTTCACAGGAGCACTAATCAGAAAGTGTTGGGAAACAAAAGAACTAGCTGTTTCCAGAAAACATCCAACCGACTTCTTTTTAGTACATTCACTGCAGAACTTGCATTCTTCCAGATAAATATGAAATAAAAGTGACTCAGAGCGGAAATATTTCTCCTAAAACCCTTTCACAAATAGATTGAGCAACACAGATCAAATTCCACTCATCCAATAAATATGGATTTTCAAACCTTTAGATTCCAAATGATGTATCAAGAGTCAAGACATAGTAAATTACGCAACCTTTCTCTTCATAAACTTAATGCAAATGTTCCAAAGTGGAAAGAAAAGGATAGTTAACTTCACATCTTTCAATTTGTAATATTATCTTTACCTTTCTTTAACTAACGGCCTCCGAAAGGTATTCTATACAATCCATAATTTATTAGTCAACCAAATCATTCTTATTATTTATTTCTGATTGATTAGCCAAACATTTATGGATAATCATTTACATAAGCTAGTTGCAGAGTGTTTTTCTAGCCAAAGAGGCATAATCTACCATCGAATTAGAAATCTATGTGATTTGCTAGGAAACCAACATCACTAACATGGAGATAACATAGATAAATAATGGAACAGTAACTACCTATGGAGTTGGGCAGGAGTCTTCTCCGGAATGATGTCGTCTTCGGTTGCAACCTTCTTAGCAATTGGAGCAAACCCACCAAAAAGGACCCAAAATTCACCAGAATCTGTCTCAGCTTGCAATTTTCCATCATCTGAAATGGGAAATATCATTAGAAAAGAAGAAGAGAGAAAGAACGGATCCTGGAGATTATGAGGATACTCACCAACAATGGCGACATCACACGTCCCCTCATGATACTTTTCCTTCAAAAATTGAATTACTTCTAATGCTTTGGCCCTTTCCTGAATATTGGAATTTGCACCATTGAACTGATATATCTTGTCTTTCGAGTCAAGAATAAAAACATCATCATGATTCAGCGAGGACCGTGAAAATGGGACCTGCGAGGAAAGAAAAAGGAAGCAATCTTTTTCAATAGATGGCAATTCCACATAATTCTGCTCTATTTGGATGCTGATGACACGTGATTTCATTAGCATTTCCCTCTTACCTGTTTCAGTCTTACAACTCGTTTTCCTTTACAAATATATAACCGTGTTTCAAATTCTTCTTCTTCAGGTTTCTTGAACCCAGATGCAATGCCACCTTCCAGTGGTATGATGCATGGTTTAAAATATGACAGGAATTTGTCAGATTCATGGCCTTGTAGCTCTCTATACTGCACGGCACGACCACCAAGAACGGCATCAAGTTCAACAGTTTTGATAGCTGCAGTCCCTGCTTCGTCCTAAGGAATTGCAGAAATGGAGAAATCCAAGTTACAAAGCATATACTATCAGGAAAGTAATCCTAAGAACAAGAACAAGAATAAGATCACTACCTGACTAGTATCCTTTCCGAGCCAGAAGTGAATGTCATAAAGATAAGCACCTCCCTTACCAGGACTTGTCTACATATAAAGCATTCCGAAATGGTAAGTCAAGCCGAAGTGTCCATCTTGCTCTACCTCTTAATCGAAATAAAAAAACCTCACCTGAAGAATAATATAAGAATCTCCCGAGTAGAATTTACCATAATCAGATTTTGGTAAAGGAACTGGTTGAAAGTTCTCAATCCTCCAGGTCTCAGTTCCTCTGCAAAGTGTTAAGTTTAACAGGACAGCAACTTCAAACTGAAGAAACACAAGCCTAAAACACATGGCATCATATATGTGTGTGTGTGTGTGTGTGTGTGTGTGGGCGTGTGCGCGCGTGTGTATATTCATATTTGAGATGAATTACTAGTCAATTAGTTAGTCAATTAAGCATAGTTTCCAATGAAAGGATACATTTTCTGACCCGCTCCCCTGAAAGCAGGTTCCAGAGCTTTTGCTGAGCTAGACATTTTGCAA